TAACCTTGCTTCATATTGATCTCACCCCAGGCTGGCGGAGTCTACCACAGGGACTTTCCATATGTAGCACTGCCCTATGGCCAGTCCATATGTGTAATTTCCACATAATACCTCCTATACGCAGGATGTGGCTTCCATAGCGTTCCCCTACTTGGGTACGCTTTCCCAGTGTTATCCAATATCCCACTGTATGGAACAGGCGGACGCCTCTGCCTAAGCCCTGTCCTATCTTCTGCCCCAACTGGCGTGTGGGGACTTGCCGGCTTTCGCAGGGCACTGGAGGGGGTCAGCAATAGTGGCGCTTTCATAGGGATCCCAATTCGTCAGTCACTGCTGGATGTGACCAGGTGGATGCTGCACAATGGTGGTGGTTGAGGAGATGCCCCCTTCTATGTAAAGCGCTTTGAGTGCCCAGAAAAGCGCTATATAAATGTAAGGAATTATTACTTTCTTTTTTTTTTGCTGACGTAACGTCGAACGTGACTGCCTGAAAGGGAATGTCTCGGTTACATATGTAACCCTTGTTCCCTGAAGGAGGGAACGGAGACGTTATGTCCCGTCGCCACATTTGCTGTACCACCGTCTCAGCGAAATACTGAATGTGTGACTGCACGCGCTCTCCTTATATACCCGCGCTGCGGGGCGGGGTGCGCGACGCAAAGCTTGCACGCCAACACTTATTGGCTTGTTTTGTTAACACTCGAAGGTGATTGGACTCTCTAGCGAGATCCCAATTCGTCAGTCACTGCTGATGTAACGCCTCCGTTCCCTCTTTCAGGGAACAAGGGTTACATATGTAACCGAGACATTTTATTTTGGAGGATTAGTTTTATTGGTTTTGTTTAAACAGGATATTTCATTCTTTAAGCTGTACTAATAATGCTACATGATTTTAATAGCTGAGAGAAGTATATGTATATTTATATAAGTGCTTGTGTCTTAGCATTTGACACTGGATATCTTTTGTTCTATTAAAGCCGACAAAGTAAGTCTGTGTCACATGCATTAAAACATGCATAGTGGATCTGTATAGGATGTTATGAACAATGGAACACTGAAACTATTAAACATATCAAAGTAACACTTTGGTACCATCTTCTGGTTAAAAAAACTATATGCCACCCCCAATTTCTGTAAGATTACTGGCAAATCAGTATCTAAAAGATTGAATACTGATCCATTATTGTTATTTGCTAATGCCTATCATTGATTACTAAATCTGAAAATATAGTGCAAGAATATTACATCTTAAATAATGTGTGAGTAGAGCACATACAGTGCATGCAAGATATAATAACAACTGTAAACTAAATGTTTTATATACATTTAAAATATATTTCTAATTTAAAGTTGACATTTATTAACCATACCATGCAACTGTGCCATTTCTTCATTCCAAAGAACTTTTGTTTTGTCTTTTATTTCATTTAAAATTAAATATACATTAACTACATTATTGGAAATGAAATATTATTGTAATATTTTCTTTACATATAGTTGATACAGCAAGACAGTTTTCAAAAGGGCAATAAATATAAGGTTATATAAGAGTCAAAATTCCAATTATACAAATATGTGTGTTATCTTAAAAAAGTGTTTCTATATGTTCGAACATATAGTTCAAAAATATACCCAGGCAAAATAAAAAGTGTGCACTTCCATAATGTACTTAAAGTGCTCTATTTTCATGCACTAATTTTGTACTTAATATACCATACATTATTATTTAGTACTACTTAAGATCATCTTAAAAACATCTAAGTGTACTCAAATGTGCTATTTTGGGACACCATGAATATAAATTAAAATGTGCTTTTAACATACTTTCTCTGGATTAAAAAAAATAAATTTAGTCACCACTTGTAGTACACTTGAACCAATCTTTCATACACTAGGGTTCAAGTGTACTACATTACCTTAAGAAATATTAACGAATATTTTTAGTATATTAAGTACAAAATTTGTGTGTGAAAATAGAGTACTTTAAGTACATTATTGAAGTGCATTTTTTTCTACTGGGTAACATTAGGATCATTTTTGTGAATTTTATCCTCCAAACTAAAATTTCAATATCACTGTATTTTTTGTGTTTCGCCACATTAGCATATATTCAGACAAGAGTCAACTATAGAGACCAGCATCTCAGCAATGTGAGGATCCTCAAGATTGTTAAGACACCTAAAAATTATAGCCGTCAGGATAAACATGTGTTTCGGATCAGGTCGTGATTTTTTTTTTACGATGATAATTTGCTGCAGCCTCAAACACGTGATGGTACTCTTGTGTATTGGTATTTTCTGATTACACCAAATAAGATTAAGAACAGTATGTCCATTCATTACATAATTCAATTTTTAACTTAAAGTCTGATTGGAGTGGCTTCAGTTGGGTCACTCCTTCACTTAGAAAATAAGACCGAGCCTGACCAGAGTACTGCGCAAACGTCCTGGGAGTGCTATCATCATCTGAAGATACCAACATGAAACCTCAGAGTATACTTGTCTTGCTTGTCCTTGTCGTATTAGCATTGCACTGTAAGTTTTGGGTTTTTTGCATTTAGTGATAGAAGTGTTTAAATTGACTAACTTTTTACTTAAGGCATAAGTGCTTGTGTAAATCTAAAACTGGGAAACCTTGAACAGCAAATCTCATGGACAAAATCATGGATACATGGCTCCAAATCACTTTTGGCTCATTTTACTGTATCTTTCAGTGCTAAAGCATTTAATTTCTGTCTAAGGCAAAGAGAATGAGGCTGCGTCATTTCCCTGGAGCTGTGCAAGTCTCAGTGGAGTTTGCAGACAAGGAGTGTGTCTGCCTTCTGAGCTTTACTTTGGACCCTTAGGCTGTGGCAAGGGATTCTTGTAAGTTCTGGTATATGCCTAATATCATAGCAATAATCTGTCATATCAGTTATGAACTATATTAAAATATACTTCTATTTTTCCTTCTTTTTTTTTCCAGGTGCTGTGTATCACATTTTCTTTGAGAACTGGAAATGATGTTCCTCAAAATTCCACTATGTGAATCCAGCCTTACCTATGATAATTCTCTGCTTTAACTCATCACATGACTGCATGTTTGATTTGGGATCATATACATGGAGATGCCTTAAGGATTAACATATTTTAAATGGTCTTGTATATAACACTGATTGTCATCTAATAGCATCTGATGATCAAGAATTTCAAACCATCATGTTAAGGCGAACCATACAGTTTATTACATGGAATAGTTGCCTTTAGGTCTTCTGATGAACTGTTATTTTGTCTGAATATATAAAACAGCACTGATGCAATAATAAAACTAATAGGCTATTGTTTACCTCTCTGTAAATTTGTGATTCCAAGGCTTTTTAAAACCTGTTCTCCTGACCTAGGAGGAGAAAAAGAAAAAAAAAGATAAAATAATCAGTTCTGTGGTTGTCAACTATCAACTGAAACCAAAAGTGGGCAATCCATACTCTATTGTTTACCTCTCTGTAAATTTGTGATTCCAAGGCTTTTTAAAACCTGTTCTCCTGACCTAGGAGGAGAAAAAAAAAGATAAAATAATCAGTTCTGTGGTTGTCAACTATCAACTGAAACCAAAAGTGGGCAATCCATACTTAAGTGACTTGCACAGCGCAAACAGGTTATTCATTTGAGCAGCTAAGGTAATAAGTTATTTCAAATAACTATTTTGAGAAAAATATTTTGTTTCCAACAGACTTTTGATGAAAAAAAAAGATATTTGTTTCAGTGCAAGGCACCCAAAAACTGACAAGAAGACTGATTTTGCAAAATGGGTAAAAAAACTAAAAAACAAGTGCCATTTTAAATAATACATTAAAACTTTACCATGATAACCATATAGATTTTGCCAAATACCTATGCATAACTTCAAATAACTAAACTATATTATAATCATATTTATTAAATTATAACTTAATAAATTAAAGATTAATTTAAAGGGGTCATATGATGCTAATTTAAAGATCATTATTTGTTCCAACCGTTATTGTTGCTACAATAAAAATGTTACTTGGCACCACTGTAAAATAAAAAAAATAAATAAAACAAAATAAAATACTTACCAAATCTGAACGCTTGTTGCATTGTTTTAGCTACGGCAGTAACAAAGCTGTTAGCAGGGATGGGCAGTATTTGAAATACAAAATACCATTTCGTTTTTAAATACCTTTTTGCATTTAAATACATTTAATCTTAGTATTTTTGTATTTTCAAAATACATAAGGTACTTTGCCAATCAACCTCCTTATTAGACTGCTGATTTCCTGCAGCGATGGGCAGTATTTGAAATACATGTATTTTAAATACTATTTTGTATTTAAATACCTTTGGAAAAAGTCAAATGTATTTTGTATTTAAATACATTTAATCTTAGTATTTTTGTATTTTCAAAATACATAAGGTACTTTGCCAATCAACCTCCTTATTAGACTGCTGATTTCCTGCAGGGATGGGCAGTATTTGAAATACATGTATTTTAAATACTATTTTGTATTTAAATACCTTTGGAAAAAGTCAAATGTATTTTGTATTTAAATACATTTAATCTTAGTATTTTTGTATACTTGTTGATCCAGGAAATCAGCAGTCTAATTAAGAGGTTGATTGGCAAAAAAGTATTTTTGTCTTTTGAAAATACACAAATACTAAACTTAAATGTATTTAAATACAAAATAGTATTTTGTATTTAAATACAAAATATTATTTTGTATTTCAAATGCATGTATTTGAAATACTGCCCATTCCTGGCTGTTAGTAAGTTACAGATATTTCAAATTATTTATAGGAATGATGACAGGTATCATGCTTACCATGGTCATTTTTCTGAAGGGTTACAAGAGCTCGTGGAATAAAAAGAACATACAAGAATCTGCAAGCAACTGAAATAACCTGCAAACCTACTACCAGTCCATGATAAAATACAGGTGGCGTAAGCATGATAAAAAGCGAATACACATGTTTGTATTGTGCAGTGTGTCTCTGCTATTCGACGCTTCAACCCACGTGACCGGACGTAAATACGGTTCAGCAGCAGTTCCCGCGTTTGGCGACTCTTGTCTTTCAATCACTAGCGTAAACTTGAAGTAGCAGCCAGTCGTTCCGGATATGGATGACCTGTATTTAGACAATATTGACGAATTTGTTAATGATCAAAATAAGATCGTAAGTCGTTTTTTATAATGATATCGTTCTTGTCATCGTAAATGTGAAATGTTGGTTGATATACCAAAATGCTTTCAAGTGGCTGCATGCTAGTTTACTTAATTGTTCAGGGCTGGGGACCACGAGAAATATCGGTAACGTTACCGAATGATTTTCATGCCGTTCTTTTCTGTTAACATTTTTTTCTGTGCAGTCTGTTTTCCGAATGACACTTATGAGTTGGTTATTTTTAGTGAAGCAACCACATGCGCGATCCCATGTTGCATCTTAACTTAATCAAATCCGACTCTAAGCGAACAAAAAAAATTGTACTACACTTAATGCTAGTAAGAAATCAGTTTAGTCACTGACAGACTGTTAACGTGTAGTTAAAGATACACAGTACCAGTTTTATAGTAATCAAATGCCATTATTCAGTCTATATAGAGTAAGCATGAGAATAGTTATTAGCTGCATTATCAACTATTCAGCATTTATGTTTTGATTTTTGCAGGTCACCTACAAATGGCTCAGTTTAACTCTTGGAGTCCACGTCAACATAGCAAAACAGTAAGTCCTGTCCTTTTTTACGACACTTTTAAGGTATTCAAGCATCTGATGATCTGTTGGAATCACTAATGTTCAAGTAACATTTTTGCAGAATGTTGTATCATTACCTGCATCAGAAACGTAATGAAAGTTCAGGCACTCCCCTTCATGTCACCTACCTAGTATCTGGGAAGTGTGTTGAGAATGGTAGTACGGTAAGGGTTGAGATCTGATAATTGCTTAACCTTTGTGAAATTAATGTTTCCCAAATAACTATTATTTTAAGATCTGCAGTTGAATGTTTTCCATTGCTTTTAGTGCCACAAAGTGTCAGTAGTACGTGAGGACAAGCTTGATGGTAAGATGACCATATTTATATCTGTAAATTACAACAAAAAGCAGTAATAATAGGCAAAAATGCATTAATCCTGGGCTAAAAAATGTTAGGCTTCTCTAATCTCACATAGGTGATCTTATATTTGTACTTATAATCTTTATAATTTAAAATATATTAATAAAATATATATTTTTTTTTTTATTTATTCTGTTATATTATCATTGTGTTGGCATCATTTTAATTTCGATTTAATTTAATTTCTATATATATTAATTTAAAATATAAATTAATTAATATAAATACACAATTTATTTTAATATTTAATTTTATTATATAAAAGCAGGAAATACAGGAAGAAAAAAACATTTATATAATATTTCATGTGATTTTCATTTTTAAATATTCAGTAGAGGAATTTGTTTTTGACAGCTGTTAAAGCAAAGATGGACGTGACCATCAGTGTGCATGTGTACAGTGTGCAGAGAGCCGAGCTGAAGGATAGTTCACCACTTTACAATACAGATTATGATGCTGTTAAGGAGAACCTAAAAAACTGCAACAAGTAAGTGATGCACATATAACCTGTAATGTCACGTGCATGCATCATATGCTAAAGTTGTGCCACATCCAATATCTCTGGTCTTTCCTCAGGTACAGCGCTATACGTTGCGCTGCGGCGGTCTCTTTGTCATCTGCGGAACTGCAAAGAGCTCAAGAGATGGCTTTGGTCCCTCCAGTGGAGAAGGAAATCAGTAAGCCTGGCTTGAATGAAAACACTTCAGCTACCTCCAAACCCAGTGCTAAGCAGCCAGCAGGCATCATGGGAATGTTTGCAAGCAAAAATGCTTCTAAGAGCCAAGAATCCAGCAAGGAAGTGAAAACAGAGCAGAAAGAAGATTCTTCTCTGGTTAGAGTGTAACTCTATAGTTTAATGTTGATGGAACACAAGAGTGTGTGTGAAATTTATAATGGTTTCCTATGTTGTAGGTTGAAACATCAAAAAGCAAAACAGCCTCCAAAATGAACCCGATGAGTAACTTCTTTGGGAAGTCTGCCCAAAGTGAGTGTTTTTCTTTCTTGTCTGCCAAAAAAAAAAGACAAAAAATGCAAGAAACAATGCGTAACAAAGTAAACCAAACAAAACATTTTCCTCTGAAATTTAGAAAAGGCTGATGAAAAACCTAACAAAAGCATTAAAGAAGAGATGGACGGCAGCTCAACAGCATCGGCTACTGCAAGTATGAAACAGTCACAGACATCTCCCAAATCTGAGATTGACATTAAAGAGGAACAATCCAAAGTGTCCAATGCTTTGAAGGTTGAATCAAAAGACACTCGGAAGTAAGGTTTACTTTTTTTTTTTTCCTTTTTGAAGTAAATTTTTATTTATACT